TTCTTTATTTCTTAGTTTAATCTAATTAATGTTATCTCTATTTTGCTTGTCTTTTAAAAAAACAACTTTTCATATAACTAATCTTTTATATTGCTAGTAGTCTCCATTTCCCTCACTTATGCTCTCATATTTGTTATTTCTTTCCTTCTAATTTTATGTTTGGGTAGGTTTATTTTAGGTGCTTGAATTTCATTATTAGATTGTTGATTTGAAATCTTTTTTATGTGGATCTTTATTATTATAAACTTTCCTTAGTACTGCTTTTGCTGTATTTTATATGTCTTAGTATGGCATTTCTACTTTTATTTGTTTCAAGCTTTTAAATTTTCCTTTGACTTCTTCAGTGACCTACTTTTCACTCAATAGCATGTCAGATAGTTTCCTTGTATCACTACAATTTTTAAAATTTCTTTATTGATAATTTCTAATTTTATTCCATTGTGATCATAACAGATATATGATATGATCTCAGTTTTTTAGTTTTTTGAAACTCCTTTTATGACCTAGTATATGGTTTTTCCTAGAGGATGACCCATTGACTGATGAGAATAATTTGTATTTTATATTTGTTGGATTGTGTATAACTCTTGACTTTATTGGATCTATAATATAGCTTATCTCTGATGTTTTTATATTGATATTTTCTTAGATGACTTGTCCCTTGATGAAATGGTGTGTTGAAATCCCCATATATTATTGTGTTCAAGCCTATCTCTCCTTTTAGATATACTAGTATTAACCCTATCATTAAGTGCAAATATTCTTTTTAAAAAATATTTATTTTTTAGTTTTATCTGAATACAATATCTTTGTTTCTATGTGGTGCTGAGAATTGAACCCAGTGCCTCATGCATGCTAGGCAAGCGTGCTACCACTTGAGCCACATCCCCAGCCCCAGCAAATATTCTTTTCAATTGTTATAACTTCTTGTTGAATTTATCCCTTAATTATTATATAATAAATTTCTTTGTCTCTTTTACTTTTGTCTTAAAAAACTATTTTGTAAGCACAGATACTTTTGCTTGATTGAGGTTTCCATTTACATGGAATGTCTTTTTTCAGTCCCTTCACTTTCAGTCTATGTGCATATTTACTGGTGAAATGAGTTTCTTATAGGCAGCATATCATTAGGTCTTGTATTTTTATTCATTCAACAAATCTGTATCTTTTTTTGGGAAGGGGGCGGTTACCTGGGATTGAACTTAGGGGCACTTGACTAATGAGTCACATTCCCAGCCCTATTTTGTATTTTATTAAAGACAGGTTCTCACTGAGTTGCTTATCACCTTGTTTTTGCTAAGGCTAACTTTAAACTCACAATCCTCCTGCCTCAGCCTCCTGAGCCACTGAAATTATGGGAATGTACTGCCATGCCCAACTCAGACTATATCTTTTAATTGGAGAATTTATGTTTATATTCAAAATTACTAGCAATATGTAAAGACTCACTCTCATAATTTTGTTAATTTTCTTCTACTTTGTGAATGTCCTATGTTCCTCTCTTTCTCTTATGTTAGTCATCTTGGTAGTTTGGTGGTTTTGTGTATTGATGAAGTTTGATTCTTTTCTGTTTCTCTTTTGTGGATGTGCTATTCTGGTGGGCATTATACTTTCATGAATTTTCATGATAGTTGTCCTTCTTTCATTCTAGATGTATAATTCCTTTTGTGGTAGAATATGATGGGAAATTTTAGCATTTTAAGAGCTGACAGGCAGTGGTTTTGCACATTGACACATAGCAGCTCTGTTTACTGCCATTTAACCATAGAGGCTGCAGCAGTTAACAGGTATCTGTAAAACATAACTATAGTAGCAGAAGCAAAAGACAAAGTTGTAGGGACAGAACAAACCCACTTTAGGCTCAGTGCAATAAAAGTTCCTAAGCTGTTAAGAGTACCTAGATTGTTAACAAGCTTATACCCATATAAGGAATATAGAATACACCCTCCCATACAATTGCACCAACACTCTTGCCTTGATGTACCCCAAACTTATTTATGTATAAAAGTAAAAGCCATGCTGTGCTCAGGGCTCAGACTTTGGGAATTATCCCTTGGGTCTGTGGCACCCTCATTTCTTGCTACACTTTAAGCATCTTTTGTAAGTCCAGTCTGGTTGTGATGAATTCTCTGTTTTTATAATCTTGATAACATTTATTATATATAAAGGCTAACTTTGGTAGATATAGTATTCTTGGTTGTCAGTTTTTATTTTCTTTCAGGTCTTAGAATATATCTTCCTCTTCCCTTCTGGCCTATAAATTGATGAGATATGAGCAGTTAGTCTAGTGAGTGTTCCCTTAAAAGTAATAAGCATTGATTTTTCTCTTGCTGTTTGTAGATTCTCTCTTTATCTTTTGTATTTTTAACAGGTTTGATATAATATGCTATAGTTAGCATTTTTCTGATCAAATTTATTCTGTGCCCTTTGAATCATTTATACCTGGACATCTATATTTTTCTAAGATCTTGTGAGTTTTGGGCTGTTATTTTATAAATATGTTTAGAATACTTTTCTTCCAGCCTTTTGGATTCACAAAATTAGATTTTTATTTTTCATTTAATAATGTCCTAAGGTCTCAGAGGCTTACTCAATCCTTTTTTTCTTCCTTTTTCTTTTTGGTTTATTTTCTTTACCTTTTGCTTTTTTATGGGGACCCACTATCTGTGATATTTCAAAATACTTTCAAGTTCAGAAATTCTTTCTTCAACTTAATATAAGTTGCTGTTGAAGTTATTGACTCTATATTTTGACTTGTTGACTTCTGCAGCTCTAAGGTTTCTGTTTGGTTCTTTTTCGTGATCTTTACATATTTGATGAATTTCTCACTCATATCACAATTTATTTTCCTAACTTAATTTTAAAGTACTTCTATATACTCTTACATCTCATTAAGTTTCCTGAGAAACATTTTGTTTAATTTCCCCAGGCATTTCATCAATAACCTTTCTTAGGCCCTATTGCTAGAGTGTGTTCCTTTGAAATAATCATTTTATGTTACTTTTTCAAATGTCCTGTGTCCCTACATTGATCTATGTGGTGGGTCAGTTGTTTCTACCAATTTTATAAGGCGACTATTGTAATAGGCTTTCTCCTGAAGATGTGTCTTTGGGTGTCGTTTTGGTAGATTCTGTTGACTTTGGCTCCAGGTTAACATGGAAGTACAGTCTCTCTAAAGGTTCTTCAGTTATAACCAATGGCTTTGGGTGTGGTAGAAGCAGCAATGTGGTCAGAAGGAAAAGGTGTTAGGCACTTCAGCAGCCCAGGAGGGTGAAGTGCATAAAGAACCCTACAAAAAGTAGGGTTGAGACAACTTCTGTATGGCCAGTTCAGTGATTGGAGTGGTGGCACCAGGGACATGAAAGATAATGGATATTTCTGGTACCACTGGATCAATCTCCATTGTCAACAGAGACCTCTGGCTCTGAGCAAAAAAGTACCAAGGTATAGTTTTTGGGGATATAGCTCTAGAAAATGCAGGGGTTTGTGCCACTAATAGCTGGGGCTGCTGCTAGTTGTAGGGTGAAGCTTCAGCTATGAAGTATGTTGAATTCATTCTCTGGCCCTGTAGAGGTTAGCCTGATGTCAATGAAGACCAGTGAGAGGCACATCTTCCAGCTCCCAGTGGCATATGCTGCTGAGGATGGAAGCAATGGCAGTGGGAATAAGCAGTAAAGAAGTCTTACCTCCAGTCTTACTAGTTGTACACACTTGTGAAGCAAGGCAAGCTCATCCCCATCCTCAGAAATACCATGTCCCAAAGTCAGTCAGAGACAGTGTGTATATGTTCATGCACATGTATGTATGTGTGTAAGGGATATTTCCTGTCCCAGAGCATGAGCACTTTGGTTCTTCAGATATTGGGGCTAACACCCTGTGCCATGCAGAACACTGCAGGACTTCATACTGGGATCATAGCTGCATGGATGGATCTGGTTGGGTTTATAACATTCATAGAGTACCTTTTGTACTCCATGGTGGAATGCTTATAGGACTTCCGGAATGGAAATAACTGGGACTTCTGACCCCTAGTACAATAACATTTTTTACAGTCACTCAGAAGCCTGAGCTCTGGGTGTTAAGGAGAGGAAACATAAGTTTCTTTTCTGAAGAAAAGCTACATGGAGAACCCATACTGCTCTTCTAACTAGGCTCTGACCATTAATGATTAGAAAGCTCCTTTGTTACAAGGATTATCAGTGTCCATGACAGGGTCCAGTGACACCTTCTCATCTATATCCCTCACAGAAAGGAGTCCCCTTTATGAGGGAACCAGGTTAGCAGTGTCCACAATGTTCTGCTCCACCCTCTATGCTACCATCCCATGTCTCCTTGTCTTAAAGGAATACTGTCCTTCTCTTGCTGTTTCAATACTCTCTCTCAGTCACCCATCTGATAAAGCAAGTATTAATTATGTTCTTCTCTGTAAAGGAGTCAGCGCTGGTCTTCTGTATTTGGTCATATTGTAATCTCTCTTAATATTAATTTTTTAAAATGCTGGTTATCTTGTGGCCACAAGTTGGCTTCTGAACTCCATTAATTATATGTACATTCAGTTTTTGTGTTTGAGGCTCCAGAATTTTCTTTCATTTATACTTATTTTTTTTTAGCATTTGAATGCCAAATGTTGCTTTCAATGCTAAGGTTTCAGAGATGACTCAGCACGCTTCTTCCTCATATAATATTATCTACATCTCTATATCTTGCACAGAAATAATTGGCAAAAAAGTGTGATAGTACATGCTGTAGTTTGCTTATGCTTAATGTGTAATATGTGTCCTCTGACTTTTATTTTTGAAAGTTTGTTTTTATTTCTTTGTGAAGTCTTTATGTTGAACCTAATTAGAAATATTTGTGCTTCATGTACCTGGATGTTCATATATTTCCATAGATCTGGGGAGTTTTTACCTATCATTTAAGTATTTCATTTATTATTTTCTTTATTGTTCTTGTAGTATGTTGTCTCACAAATTTCCTAATTTTTTTTTTATTTTCCTCAGTCTCTATTTCAGATCCTTTATTTTCCTTGTACAATAGCCAGATAAAAACTATATCAATTATGATATGTGTTGTGATGTTATATTCCACTTTATTAATCACTGGTGTAATAAAGTACCTAGAAGGTAAGTGAACATAAAGAATCATGACTCTGAAACTTTCTTCTTGTACAGATTTGTTTTACATTCCCTTATAAGGTTCTACTTTATGACTTGTGGTGCCAAACTTCACCCTGCTTCCCAAGAGAAAAAAAGGTTAAATCCTCAATTGTGTTTAAGTTATGTATTAGTGTTCTATGGATAAGCTGTAGTCTGCCCCTCTCTGAGTTAGCTTATGTCTATTTCAAGTGTGTAATAAGAGTGACTCTGGCTGCTTCTGCCCTGTCCTTCAGTTAACAATATACAGAGCCACAATTGTGCTCGTCAGGCTTTTTATTCTCTTCCTGCAATATGGGTCAGTGTTTCTATTGATGCCTCTGTCTCTGGCACCCTCCCCAAAAGAATGCAATTTAGTTCTCTGCAAGCACATTTTGTTACACTGTTTCCTAGATAGATCAATTTATCTTGCTTTTACATTATTTCATTCACTGAAAATTTTTAAGATTTAAATCTACTTGAAAATTTTTTGACTCCTTTACTCTGCCTTCTTGAAAGAAGTTAATCATTTTACAATTTTGTTCAGCCATAGAGTCATAGGTGATTGGTATCAATTTGGAGACAATTCCCATTTTATCCCCCAAATATTGTTTCTGATATGAATGAGAACTAACATGTCATCAAATATAAGATTGCCCCAACACTTCTTGTAATAAAACTGCAGTTCATAATATCATGAATAGTTTCCATTGTTTTTCTGATAAATTTTCCTTAATGCCATAGTATTAAATCAAAATTGACAATATTATGTGTATTACTGTTAGAAGGAAAAAAGTTCATTGAAGTATAAAAGTAAAAGTGTTTTGAGTTCATAGTTTTACCCATTATAAATAATATCTCATAAGTAAAAGCAAAAAATAGTCAAGTAATGAAAAAAATGAAGTGACTCTTGTGTCTCTGAAACCAAGAAAAAATTTTCCCAAGTGGAAATAAGAGTATTAAAAATGTTAATAATATACAAGAAATAAATAATTCAATTAGAACTCAATCATTAATTTTAAATAAAGGTTATAGTATAGTTTCGAGTCAACGCTACTTAAAGAAAATAGTTTGAAAATACAGTTATCCTTCTGTATCTGCAAATTTCATATCTACGGATTCAACCAACTGCAGACCAAAACATATTTTTTAAATTGTGCCTGTATTGGATATATAGAGACATTTTTTCTTGTTATTTGCCCCTAAATAATGTCCTATAACAACAATTTACAGCTGCTGCCAATGCTGCTGCTGCTGCTGCTGCTGCTGCCGCTGAGGAAGATGCCGCTGCTGCAGACTCCACTGCAGCAGAAGCCTCTGTGGCAGAAGACGCTGCCACAGAAGATGCTGCCACAGAGGACACTGCCACAGGGTCCCCAGAGATCTTTTCTCTGAGCACCGCTTCCTTTACCTCTGATGCGAATTCCAACACAACCGCTGTGGTTGCTGCCCCTGAACTGGAAGTCTCATGTCAATCTACCACAGCCTGAACTGCTACCGCCATTGCTGCTGCCTCTGATTCCACTGCTGCCAGCTTGAGATTGCCTGGAGGTCTTCTTTCTGGATGCTGCTGCCACAGAAGAAACTGCTGCCTGGGATGCAACTGAAGCTGACATTGCTGCTGACTTCCTATGGAGATCACCCGTGACACTGAGCCCCCCCCCACACACACACACACCCCACAGCTGCAGTTGCAGCTGCCTTTGCAGCCACCACTATCCCTGATGAACATAGATGCAAAAATTATCAATAAAATTCTGGCAAATTGCATACAAAAACATAGTAAAAAGATACTGAACTATAATCAAGTGGGATTCATTCCAGGGATGCAGGGTTGGTTCAACATATGGAAATCAATAAACATAACTCATCATATTAAAACAAGAATCATATGATCCTCTCAATAGACGCAGAAAAAGCATTTGACAAAATACAGCACACCATCATGTACAAAACACTAGAACAGCTAGGAATTGTAGGAACATACTTCAACATTGTAAAATCTATATATGCTAAACCCAAGGCCAGCATCATTCTAAATGGAGAAAAATTGAAAACATTTCCTCTAAAAACTGGAACAAGAAAAGGATGTCCTCTTTCACCACTTCTATTCAACATTATCCTTGAAACCCTAGCCAGAGCAATTAGACAAAATAAATAAACCAAAGGGATACAAATAAGTAAAGAAGAACTCAAACTATCACTGTTTGCTAATGAAATGATGCTGTATCTAGAAGATCTAAAAAATTCCACCAGAAAACTTCTAGAACTAATAAATGAATTCAGCAAAGCAGCAAGATATAAAAATCAACACCCATAAATCAAACGTATTTCTATACATCAGCAATGAATCCACTGAAAGAGAAATTAGGAACACTATTCCATTCACAATAGCCTCAAAAAAATTACCTGGGAATCAATCTAACAAAAAATGTGAAAGACCTCTACAATGCAAACTACAGAACACTAAAGAAAACTGAAGAAATCCTCAGAAGATGAAAAGACTTCCAATGCTCCTGGATAGGCAGAATTAATATTGTAAAAATGGCCATACTACCAAAAGCATTATAACAGATTTAGTGCAATTCCTATTAAAATCCCATTGACATTCTCCATAGAAATAGAAAAAGCAATCATGAAATTTATTGGAAAAATAAAAGACAGAGAATAGCTAAAGAATTCCTGAGCAAGAAAAGTGAAGCAGGAGGCATCACAATACCAGAATTTATACTATACTACAGAGCTATAGTAACAAAAATGGCATGTTATTGGCACTAAAATAGACTTGAAGACCAATGATACAGAATAGAGGACACAGAGACAAACCCACATAAATATGGTTATCTCATACTAGACATGAGATACCAAAAACATTCACTGGAAAAAAGATAGCTTATTCAACAAATGGTGCTGGAAAACTGGAAATCCATATGTTGCAAAATGAAATTAAACCTCTATCTCTCACCCTGCACAAAAATCATTCAAAGTAGATCAAAGACTTAGGTACTACAACAGAGACCCTGAACCTAATAGAAGAAAAAATAGGCCTAAATCTTCACATGTCGGCCTAGGATCTGACTTCCTTAACAAGACTCCTAAAGCACAAGAAGTAAAATCAAGAATCAATAAATGGGGTGGATTCAAATTAAAAAGCTTCTTCTCAATTAATAATGTGAGGAGAGAACCTACAGATTTGGAGAAAATTTTTATCACATGCACCTCTGATAAAGCATTAATCTCTAGGATATATAAAGAACTCAAAAAAAAAAAGCAAATAATCCAATCTATAAATGGGCTAAGGAAGTGAACAGACACTTTACAGAAGAATAAATACAATTGATCAACAAATATATGAAAAAGTGTTCAACATCTCTAGCATTTAGAGAAATGCAAATCAAAACTACTTTTAAGATTTCATCTCACTCCTGTCAGAATGGCAGTCATTAAGAATACAAACAACAATAAGCATTGGTGAAGATGTGGTGAAAAAGGCACACTCATGCATTCCTGGTGGGACTGCAAATTGGTGCAACCATTACAGAAAGCAGTATGGAGATTCCTCAGAAAACTGGAAATGGAACCACCATTTGACCCAGCTATTCCACTCTGGTTTATATCCAAAAGACTTAAAATCAGCACACTATAGTGACACAACCACATCAATATTTATAGCAGATCAATTCACAATAGCTAGACTATGGAATCAACCTAGGTGTCCCTCAATGGATTAATGGATAAAGAAAATATGGTATATATACCTAATGGAATATTACTCAGCTTTAAAAAAGAGTAAAATTATGGCATTTGGCAGTATATGGTTGAGGTTGGAAAATATCATGCAAAGTGAAATAAGGCAATCCCACAAAACCAAAGGCCAAATGTTTTCCCTAAAACATGGATGGTAATTCACAATAAGGCAGGATGGCACTAGGGGAGAATATCATTACCTTACATTAGGTAGAGGGAAGTGATGGTAGGGGAGGGGAGGGGATGTAGGGATAGGAAAAATAGTAGAATGAAACAGACATTATTACTGTATGTATATATGTGACTACATGATGAATATGATTCTGCAACATGTACACTCAGAAAAATGAGAAATTATATCCCACCTATGTATGATATATCAAAGTGCATAAATGCATTCTACTGTCATGTATAACTAATTAAAATGAATTTTAAAATTTTTTAAAACTATTTACTTAGATTTTTATTGTATTATGTATTAGAAATGATCTGGAGATTTTTTAAAGAATGTGGAGAATCTTGGTAAATTATATGCAAATGCTATATGATTTTAAATAAATAACTTAAGATTCAGCAGATTTTGGCATTCCTGGAGCAGGTTAGAATACGGAACCACCTAATCATGTATACCAAGGGATCACTGTATAGTCATAACCTCATCATTTAGTATTGCTGGCTGTTAATATCACACAATGAGAGATACCCAGAGATTATTGTTTCATATATGTAAGAAAAACTGTTAGGCGTTCTTGTTAAAAAATAAAATAAAATAAAAATAATTTTTAAAAAAGAAAACCCAAATGTGATTAAACCTCTATTGAAAATTCTAATTTATAGGACACCCCATGAATTATGACAGAGAAGCATAAACAACACAGATACATAGAAAATAACCCAGCAAATGCCTTGAATTCTTCAATAAATCTTATGCAGAAACATGAAAAAGATAATGAAATGGAACATGAAGAAAAGCTAATAGTTAAAGGGAGATGGAAAAATCAATGAATGCTATAGTTCAGGTCTTAAGTTCCCCCTAAAAATTCTTCTTGTGGTAAAGCCTGGTGCTATTGGGAGATGGTGGAACCTTTATAAGATGGAGCCTAGTGGGAGGTCTTGGGGTCATTGTGTATTCAAGGGACACCAGCCCCTTCTTTCTCTATTTTCCTTTCTGCCCATAAGATGAGCAGTTTTGCTCACTGATATCATAATGTGCTACCTTCCCTAAGACACTTAAGAACAATGCACCTACCCAATCAGGGAGTAAAACCTCCCAAACTGCAAACCAAAATGAACTGTTTCTCTTTATAAGTTGATTTATTCAAATATTTTTAATAGTAATGGAAACCTGACTAATAGTAATTTGGTACCAAGAAATGGAGTCATTGCCATTGCTATAGACCTGATGATGTGGAAGAGACTTTGGAATGGGACAGTGGAAGGAATCTGGAAAAGCTTAGATAAGCAAACTAGAAAAATCAAAGACTGCTATTAAGCAGAATGCTAAAAGGAATGCAGACAGTAAAAACTATGCCTATGAGATTTCAGATGGAAATGATGATCACATTGGAAATGGATTGAGGAGTATGCATATCATATTGTGGCAAGAATTAGGATACATTTTGTCCATGCCTTGAGGCTTCAAGGGAGAATTAATTTAAAGGTAATAGTTTTGTTTATCTCGGGATGAAATTTCAAAGCAACAAGTAATTCAGGAGGTAACATGGCATAACCAAACAATTTAATGAAACTTAGAATCAGGAGAAAAAATAGCAGAACAAAAATATTTTAAAAAATTAACACCTTGGCCATAAAAGGCTTTTGCATAAAGTTTTGGAGAAGAATAGTGCAGATAATAAACCAAGTTTCCAATTGGGACAATTGGAAAAATAACTTGAAGGCATCTCAGTAATCATCAAGACTATGAGGCTCAGAGATGCAGATACAAATTTGTTTCAAAGATTTTTCAAGGTAGAATCTTTTTGAGAATAGATCCCAGGGCACCCTGTTGGCCAAGACCTCCTAGATTGCTTACAAAAACAAAATAATTTATTAATCAAAATTGTTTTTAAAAACCTCACAAATTTTAAATCATTGTCAAGAACTTTGCCCATTTTAAGTTTCCTGACTGATAAAAAATACTTCAAACCACTGTATTCATACCTTTACAACCCTATAAACATCCTCTTATCTCTTTCTTCTGAGATGCTGCTTAGACTGTCCAGATGAGTTCTTTCTTATATCAGGTTTAATGAGCATCATTTGAAAAACAGGTCATTGGGTGGTTTTTGTGAGAAGTTGACATGTAACATAATTAAAATGACTGGTATCCTGTCCAAGAAAAAAATGTTATTTTTCTGTCTGATTCTACTTTTCTGCTAAAGTCTTAGATAATGCTAAGTTATTTTTCGTAGAAACGTAATTATGCTTAGGATAAACACCCTTCTAGTGAAAACTACCAATGGGCACAAGAGGACTTACCTCACACTCCCAAAGACCTAAGGACTTCCTACTAGGCTCTACCTCTTAAAAGTCCATACCACCTCTCAATACTGCCACACTAGAAACTAAGTGCTCTACACATGAACTTTTAGGGGTACACAGACCATTTTAAAATTATATCAGCAAGATAAAAAAATTCAAAATCTTTATTCTTATAAATATCTAAAAAGCACTTTTAAACCTGCAAAAAATCTAATCATAACTTTTATTTTATTTCTCCCAGAAAATTTGATAATGGGCATCTACTATCATTTTTATTTCTATGTTGCTCACATTATTCTTATCACATCTTTGTATAATGATTATCTTAGTATTTTTTGTGCTGCTATAATAAAATATGATAAGCTGAGTAGATTATAAACAAATAAATTTACTTTCATAGTTCTGAAGACTGGAAAATCCAAGAACAATGCTCCAGAAAGTTTGTTATTTGATGCAAGCCCACTTTCTCAACTTTTCACTTTACATGCACATGATAGAAGGACAGACTAGCTCCACTGGGCCTCTTTAATAACAATGCTAATTCCATTCCTGAGTTCTCCATCATCCAAACCTAATCATCTTCCCAAAAGCCTCAACTCCAACTATATATCACTCTATCTTTGTGGTTCAGATATTAGCATATGAGTTTGGGGAGACCGAAACTTTCAGAACATGACAGTCATTCAATATAACTGCAGAACGTTGCACAAGATATTTTGGAGAAACAAATGGCTATTTTCTTAGGGAAACCAGAAAGACAAATATTTTCAGCTCTTGGACTATTTTTTTGCCACCATGAGGAACACTGGAAATGCAAATTAATGACAGAAGAACAGAATTTGGGGGGAACAAAGGGTGAAGCAGAGAAAAGTTGGACTTTCTGGCTGCTCCACTGAAGCAGAAATCCATTTTGTGGGGGTCACATTATGGCTTGCTGTTGTAGGAATCCATGAGATCATAACAAATTTTGTCACATTATATCAGTCAGCACCTACCATGTGGAAAAGGGTGCACCTGGTAGAATACAATCAAAACAACCACATTAAAGATTACATCCAGCTGAGGGAAGATGGCGGCGAGGGGAGTGCATTACCCCCGTGTGCTGCTTCACTGTGTGGGAGTATGACAAGTCAGGACGGCTAAAGGATATCTTGTTAGGAATTTCCAGCAATAGTGGGGTGCGCCGGAACCTGGAGGAAGGATTTCCATCGCATGAGAATCGGCTACGGGGACTCAAACGCGAGAGGTTTGTCGCACGGAGGGTAACACTGCTTATTCAGCAAATCGCCCCGCGGCTAGAGTCTGCAAGGCGCGCTGGGATAGAGACGCAGGGTTACAGTGCTGCAGTTTCTGCCAGACGCGCAAGCACCGCACTCAGGGCTGAATTCTGGGTTCAAGACGGGGGAAGGAAGCGGTCCATCTCGGTTCTCCACACCGGTCAGACCACAGAGGAGGCCAGCAGCCACCATGTTGGTAAACTGACGTCACCACACCTGTTTTTGACTGACCGCAGCTCATTCAGCCATAGAACAGGTAATTTCAGGCTGCAATTCGCCTGCGGCTTGCAGACAGATTGCTAGGGTTCAGCGCCTGGGGGCTTCTTAAAATCTGATCTTATCGGAGTGAACACGGAGCGCGGGGCGGCCGAGTTCCGGCTCCCGGAACCGTCCCGGAACCGCCCTGGCTCAGGGCTGCGGAGCCTGCGGAGGCTGCTTCTTGGACCCTGCTACTATCAGAGCAAACACCAAGCACCAAGAAGCCGAATTCCAGCTCCCGGAACTGAGCCCGCGGGGACTGCTTCTTGGAGCTTACACTTATAGGAGCTTACACCGAGCACAGAGCGGCCGAGTTCCGGCTCCCGGAACCGTCCCGGAACCGCCCTGGCTCAGGGCTGCGGAGCCCGCGGAGGCTGCTTCTTGGACCCTGCTATTATCAGAGCATACACCAAGCACTAAGCGGCTGAATTCCGGCTCCCGGAACTGAGCCCGCGGGGGCTGCTTCTTGGAGCTTACACTTATAGGAGCTTACACCGAGCACGGAGCGGCCGAGTTCCGGCTCCCGGAACTTCCCTGGACCGGGGCTAGGAGCCCGCGGAAACTGTGTCTCGGTCCTGGTCCTGCTGAGGGCAGGTCAGGACTCACCCACTGCTTGGGTTGCCCGGCAAGGGGAACGAAATGCTGCCATTCGCATAGGATACCAACATGGCAGAGATCTGATGTCAGCAGAAAGCGGTGGAGGAGAGATCTTCATCAATACCAGCGGTGACATAAGCAGTTGGTCTCCTGGTAAGGGGGGTGAGGCTCAGTCACCCGAGTCTCCTCAATTTGTCCTGGAGCCAGAGGGAAGGAGCCGGGCCGCCGCCAGCCCCCGGAGCAGGCCCAGCGGCTCGCCAGCGTGGTGACCGCGTGACCCCAATTGGAGAGGGGGCGGAGCGGAGCCGCCACCCACACCCGCCAGGTGGGCAGACCCACGACCCACTAGTACATGGGCGTGGTAGGAGGGGCAGGGCAGAGCCGCCCTTCGCGCTTGCAAGGTAAACAGACCTGTGACAGCCTGGCGGGTCAGGCCCAGTGGCCTGCCAGTGTGGTACACACGTCACCCCAACTCGAGTAGGGGCAGAGCAGATCCTTCTCCCACGCCCGGATCAGGCCCTGCCGGTGTGGTGGTCACGTGACCCCAATTGGAGTGGGGGTGGAGCGGAACCGCCACCCGTGCCCGCAGGGTGAGCAGACCAGTGATCAACCTGCAGATCAGGCCCAGGGGTCCGCAGGCGTGGTAGGAGGGGCAGGGCAGATCCGCCGCCCGCGCCTTCAAGGTAGGCAGACCTACAACAGACCGGCGGATCAGGCCCAGGAGCCTGCCGGCGTGGTACAAACACCACCCTAATTGGAGTAGTGACAGAGCAGAGTCGCCTCCCTTGCCAGGAACAGACCCAGCGTCCTGCAGGCGGGGTAGTCACGACACCCCAATTGGAGTAGGGGCAAAGCAGAGCCTCCACCCGTGCCCGAAAGGTGGGCAGATCTGCGACCGACCAGCGGGACAGGCCCAGTGGCCTGCTGGTACGACAGACACGTCACCCCAATTGGAGTAGGGGCAGAACAGAGCCGCCACCAGCTCCCAGAACAGGCCCAGTGACCTGCCGGCGTGGTAGCCACGACACCCCAATTGGAATAAGGAGAGAGCAGAGCCGCCGCCCGCACCTGCAGGAAAGATACGCAAGCAGTATGAAAAGACAAGGAAAGAAAGGACCACAAGCAATGCAGGTCAACGCAACTTTAGAAGAGGTAACAGCTGCAGCAG